TCCGGCCGGTACCCCCTATTAAATATATGAGCGTGAATACAAATTCAATAAGCCAAAAATATACATAATTAACACAAATGAAAATTGAAGTTTACCACTCGTCTTGTGAATTAAGGAAAGCAGGGTATAAATTATTTTCTCGCTACTCATTCGCCGGCGGTGATAAGTTTAAATCAAGGAAAACTCTTTAATCCGGAACCTGTCTGGCAAAAACTTCTCCAGAATAACCACCTGATGACTGGGGGTTATCTCTACTACGCACAACCTTGTTTTTTGGAACGTCTTCGACCTTCACGTACATCTCCAACATTGTGATTACAAGAAATTCCCGGTATTCGTCCGGAGTCCTCAGAAAATCACTCAAAGTTTCATCATCGTCGATGTTAAACTCCAAGCAACCCCTTGCAGAGTAACAAAATACGGATATATTCCGATTACTTTAAGTATCACTGAACGTTTCTTCACACTCATTTTTTTTGCATAACAACGATATCAATTTATCGTACTCTATTGTAAGTGGCAATTTAACATGACACTGAGCAGGTAAACTGTAGCCCACAGAGTTATTCTCCATCACAACCTCACCCCCCCAAATATAATGAAACTCTTATTCTACGCTCTTCAGACATAATGAAAAAATGTTGGAGAATTTAACAACAATAAACGTTTCAACAAGAGTTAAATTGTTTTTTGAATGAATTTCTATACAATCCTAACCTCTTTATATAGGAAAAGGATAGCCGGGAATTTTTTTTATATATATGTAGCGCCCAAAAAGTTGGCACTATACACTTTTGAATTATTGAAGTCAGGAATTGTTGGTGGGGCCAGGAAAAAGGAGTATAATGCCAAAATACCAGGCACTATATATAAAACTATGTATAGCACCAGGTATTGTGGCGCTATATCTGGGCGTATTAGCTTTTTCAGTATAGCGCCACAATACTTGGCGCTATACAGTAACGACACAGTTAACGTTATTGTATAGCGCCAAGTATTGTTGCGCTATATATAAAAATATCACCTTTTTCCCACCTATTATGTATTTTGAGTCCAAAAGAACCACAATTGGGTTCCGTCTAATAATAAGGCCCAATTTCAAATAAGTACTGCCCACATTTTTAACACACTCCACTCTCTCAGCAAAAATTAGCAATCTCTGAAGCTTTCAGCAATGGCGGCTTCATCAACTCTTTCCAGTTCCATCACCACCTTCAAACTGTCTCCGTGCCAACCACGCGCCTCCTCTACTACCGCCTCCGTCAAAATCCCTTCAATTCCTCCAATAACCCTTTCAATCCTTTAATTTCTCATTTTGGCCCAACTCCCAAAAACCCTACCGTCGCACCACTCCGTTGTTCCGCTACCTCCACCACACCAGAAACTACCACAACGACTTCCACACCATTCCACGACCTTTGCTACGTCGTCGGGGACAACATCGACAATGACCAAATCATCCCTGCAAAATACCTAACCCTAGTTTCGTCAAACCCAGACGAGTACAAAAAACTCGGGTCCTACGCGCTGTGCGGACTCCCTTTATCATACCAAACCCGTTTCGTCGACCCAGATGAATTCATCCAAGTACTCCATCATCATAGGCGGTGAAAACTTCGGGTGCGGGTCGTCGCGGGAGCACGCGCCGGTTGCTTTAGGAGCTGCGGGTGTGGCGGAGTCGTACGCGAGGATATTCTTCAGGAACTCGGTTGCGACTGGCGAAGTTTATCCCCTTGAATCAGAAGTGAGGATTTGTGAGGAGTGTAAGACGGGTGATGTGGTGGCTGTTGAACTAGCAGAGAGTAGGTTGATTAATCATATGACTGGGAAAGAGTATAAATTGAAGTCAATTGGTGATGTTGGTCCTGTCATTGAAGCTGGTGGCATTTTTGCTTATGCAAGAAAGGCTGGAATGATTCCTTCCCGAGAAGCTTAGTTTTTCAAAGTGGTAATTGATGCGGTTCACATATTTTCTTTTAAATTTTTGTACTTTAGGCTTGCTGAAAACAGATGATTGCATAATAAATATGTTGTTTGTTGTATGATTTGGAGAAAAAAATCAGCACCTTTAAAAAGGGGTCTTGTGTTCTGTTATGCCTATTTCAGTATAAATCAATGGATAAACAACATCTGAATTCCAAAATAGTTGGGTTGATTGTATGATCCTGAGAGGATACGTTTAATTAATTAAAATTAGATTGTTTTTATGTTTACTGCCAGCTCAGCATTGTTGCATCTTTGTCCGAGCTTGAGACGGCTTTGCTTTGTGACATAGGCTATGTTATGTTTTATCAGGAGAACAAAAGGAAAGATGTAGACTCTAGGCTGTGTTATGGTTGTTGCTGTATGATTTGGGAAAGATGATTCGGTTATCCTGAAAGGGTATGTTACTAATATTTTCTTATGCCTATATCAAGAATCATACTTGAAATATGCTTATCACTATGGCAATTTGTACTTTGAAGAGACCCGGAGAGCTTTACTTTGCTAGATCTTTCATGTTACTAAATTTCAAGGGTTCAACTAATTTTTGGGTTTATGCATATCTCACATAATTCCCTCCCCGCCTTCCATAAATTGTCTCAACAAAGAAACCTTTTTATAAAGGCCTCAAAATTACAACTTGGTCCTATAGGAACTTAGAGTATGGTTCCTCAATAATATAAGAAGAAAAATGAATCTAACTTTAACTCAATGGTTCCTCAATAATCTAACAAGAAAAATGAAACTAACTTTAACTATCTGTCGGTGATTATATTTAGGTGACAATCAGGCAAACACACCAAAAAGTAATTGTGTCTTCTGAGGAAATTAGTGACTTCCTGATGATTAATAAGGTTTGAGCTTCATCGAGGATCGTCCTTGACTAGTAAGCAAGTTTAGATGAAACTAGAGTTCATATGAGGATCTGCCAAGTAAAATAACTACTGACATATTATATCAAATAAAAGTCAAGTTCTGTTGGCAATAGATTCTCTAGAGTAGAGCAGCATTACTTGAGATGGTTTGAAAGGGGTTGGAAAATTGACTAGGATATGATTAGTGGATTTTCGTAGGGATGAGCAACAACAATCATCGATATAGTTTGCTATGTTCCAAATATATTCTTTCATTAATAAAATTAGGGTAAGATCCACCGAAATGGGTAGCCTTAAGCCCTTAACCGGATATATGTGGTAACAGGTAAAGCCCGAAGGCTATTCCTGTCCCTATGGGGGAGATGCCAACTGTCTCTCCTTTCTACGAACACATGTTCCAAATATAATGCTTGAATCTTCTACATTCAATTACTAGAAAATAGCAAGATCATTTTGTTCTAGGAGACATGACAGCATGAAGATTTTGATTCAGGAGTTTCTACGATATGTAATTTTATCCCCTTAGATATGAACTTACATAGCTTGCCTAGCAATGATCGATGGACCTACATGATGCACATTGTTTGTTCGTTGATTCCGGAAGGTGATTTTTCTGCTTATCCCAGGTTCGAAGTTGAAAATTTTGTGTCACTTGTCCTGCACTTATTCACTCGGTTGCACCTCACAAATTGAAGAATCTAAATTGCTCGTTCCTGGTGTACTCTCTTAGGTAGTTGTTTTTTCACCTTATGTCATATGGACTTTCCTCTTTTTGGTTGTCAATTAAAGCAAGTTTCGTGGACCTATAAGCATACCCTCCTCTTTTTAGACTTTATCCTCATCTGGATGAACGGGCTATAAGTAAGTTACATCATTCGAGTATTGACTTGTCTCCAGCTATAAACGAGGCAATTTCCCAAAAGTTTGCTTGTTATCATTCCAGAGACAAAATTGGCTCATCTCCCCTTTTTGTTCATTTCAGTGGATGTGCCAAAAGTTTACTCATCTATATATGTTTATTGTAAAAGCTTATTCTCCTTTTTTTTAGTGGTGGTGGGGGGGGGGGNATTTTGTTCGAAGAGAGAGAGAGAAGGAAGGGGGGGGGGGGGGGGTGGTACATTTATTCAAAAACCTTAGCAGTATTTGCAGCAGTAGCAGACTAGCGTTACAGCATGCAAAATCTCCCTTCGATTGGTGGAAATGGTGCTTTGTATTTTTTGTATAGATGCTAAAGCTTGTCTATAATGTGCTCATATTTTACTCTTGATAGAGTCACTGTGACTTCTATACTTTTGCTTTCTCCAATGACAATAGTTTATTCTTATTTGCGTGGCTACTATGACAAATCACTGTTGCACCAACTTACTTGAGATTGTGTGCTTGTGATGACAAATTGGTTTCTCCTAACTCCTAAGAATCAAGAGAACTCAACCCCGCTTCTGTTTTGATTTTTGTCTTAAATTTTGTATTGCCTTATAGTGTGTTTTGCAAGTGGGTTAGTCAGTAGTCACAACTATAGTTGCATAATGGCAGGGATTAAAGTTGTGGCTTCCTAGCCATACTCATTTTAAATTCTCCAGCTTTACTATGCAAATCTATCAATATGTTAAAGCTCTAGAATTTATCTGTTTTCCTCGTCCTCGTATAGAAACTTTTGCTTGAGCTAAAGTTAGAGTCTGTCCTCCAGGAATATCCAGGAACCTTTATCCTGAATATTTTTTTTGTTTCATAGAGAAATTAATTTTATTACCAAAGCAGGAGGTTACAGCTAAAGAAAAAGAAAAAAAAACAGCACTCTGGACAACCCCAGATGTGCACTACATAAACTCATTGCACCATAACTCATTGTACCAGGAATACATTCAGCAACATTCCAAGAAGGGTAATACTTCAAACTGTGTAATCTCCTCTCCAGCATCTTGTTCATGCTGCCTCTTACAAATATCTCTTGAATGATCACTCTGATTATTGCATCTGCTTGTCTCCTTTTGTTTTGAAATACCACCATATTTTTTTCTTGCCATATGTAGTAGACAGTGGCAGCCAAGGCAATCCTATAAATAGTAGCTGATGCATTCTTTCCTCTTACATTGTCTCTGCAGTCCATCCCATAGCCCTTCGTGCAATCCCCTGCCATTGTAGCTAATTCTGACCAAGAGTGAGGCCATGGTAACATTTCTCAATTTTGCGTAATTCCTTTGCAACATGAATCATGTATGGTTTCTCTTCTCCCTTGTAAGCGGTGCATTTCTTAACAAGATCCAAGTAGTCCTCCAGTTGTTGTCGAATCTCTACTCCATGCTCTTCCAAAATGGTAGGATCCGCTATGTCCATTACACTGCCCTCTTCAACATTGGTTTCGACGTGGGGAAACTCTGTAAAATCTGTCATTTTACCATCAAGTATACTCATTTTCTTTCCAGTTAATAGCTGAAAGAGAACAACTCCGAAGCTATAGGCGTCAGTTTTTTGACTAGTAATACCCGATTGCATATATTCAGGATCTAAATACCCAAAATATCCGCACACAACACATGCTACTTCCAGTTCCCCTTGAGGCAATGATATGGACAATGAGAAGTCCATTATTTTGGCAACGCCGCTGTTCTGATCTATTATTACATTTGATGCACTTAGGTTTCTGTAGATGATGGGCATACTGAATTCGGTATGGAGAAAAGCAATTACTGAAGCGATCTCATTGGCAATCCGTAATCTACTTCCCCAAGATAATGATTTTCTATTTTGATCGTGATTACCCTCTATGAAAAGTAGCTCATAAAGCCTTATAGCCTCAACATATTCATATACCATAACTGGGTTTTCCAATTCTAGACAGCAACCGACAAGTCTCATTACATTCTTGAGATGACTCATTTGAGCAGTAATTGCTATATCTCGGAAAATATTACGGTGATAATCTCCACCATAGCCTGGAGCAAAAATCTATTTAAAACAAGGTGTTTGTCGAACTTAACCATACAGCTTCCAAAGAGTATTATTCTCTTTTCAGGGTTCTTTATTGCCTTCTCGATTTCATAGGCGCTGAAGTAACGGAGAGGAATTCGACAATTTCCGTCGCATAAAGCAAGAAGTTCCTCTAGCACTGCACTTCCATTCTTTAGATAATACTGCTTTTTCTTCAGTCTTTCTGCAATGGCATAGGATAACAGTCTCCTTATGATTCCGCTGATAATGTGAGGCATTTGTCTTGCCAAGAACTCTTGCGAAAGTTATGAATAAATTTAGAAGTTTGTTTTCTCTTCTAACACTTGATCTCTCTCGTATCCACTACTAGTCTTAATGCAGTGGGCTTAAATTCAATAAGGTACCAATTACATCATCACTAGTGGATCTTATAAGTAAATTGGAAGCTTCCTGCTGGTCTTTTTCTACTCTAGCGCGTGCATTGAATTCACGCAAAATGCCAACAAATCGCTGTCATATGACTATTGACTTGACTCTCATCTGAATTGCTGCGTAGTTTCATTGCCAATTGGTTAGTGTCTCTCTCTTGAATTTCCATGCACTTTCATTGCCACTGTAGACAATTAAAATTTTATTAAATTCATATCCACAAGTAATTTGGATTTTTATCATATATTAAATATATATTAGTCCAAAAAATACTATGGGCTACTATAATCGGGCCGATTGTTTAAATCTAAAATAAATTGATTTAAATAAAAGTCTAATATATTATTGGGCTAGTCCGTCAATTGGTCTTCTATCAAATGGGTCGGCCCATAAGCCTCAAACCCAATGACCTACTAGGGTTTTCTTGGAGCCTACTCCATCCTATACATATATAAAGGGTTTAAAGGAGAAGGCTAGAGGAACAAGCAAGTAAGCGGAAGGAAAGGCTAAAGAAGCTCTAAAGAATAGCATCAAGGTCTCCATCCATATCTGCAATCATCGTCTGTGGTCAAATTCCAAAGGCGAACTCAAATCATAGGCGGGCGGCTTAAAATCTTCCGTTCGTGATAACCCAACACCAAATCTTGGTTCGTGACGGCCTTCAAATTGTTCGTGACATACTACAAATATGAAATCTGTGAAGTTCAAGATCAAGCTCTCAAGCCCTTGAACCATCGTCTGTGAGGAGAAGAATCAGAGGACTGCATCTCTTTAGATCTAGAGATATTTTAGAGATTGTAATCCCATCACTTGAAATCGAATATAATATTTGTCGCTATATTTCTTGTCTTGATTATTATTTTTCAGGAACGAAATTTAGTTGTTACAAATTTTGGCACGCTCAGTGGGACCATCTCTACCTCTCATCTCTTCTCTTCGAAGTTCAAGAACACCAAGATAACCTTAATAAAAATCAACTCTAGATCTGACTCCAAAAGTGGATTGGAAGTTGGCAGGGAGATTGTTGGCCAAATCAAAATAAGCAAAGCCGAGATGCTAAGACAACAAATGCTTGAAGTGTCGTCCACAACTCATATTTTTGGTTCATCTTCTCCAAAAGAAGTAAGATCCTCTTCGTACATGCTAGAAGAAGGGAACAACATCACTGAGGCGGTCGAACGAACTTTGGCACGATTCAGCCTTTCAAAAAGAATGCCACCACCAGTCCCACAATCCCTTCGTGCAGAAAGATGATAATGTCTTGAGCAACAAATTTTCTCCAATCTCTCCTCATGTCACTCCACAATCTGCTCTGTATCCAAGTGATGTTCCATACCATTCTTCATCCTCTACGTTGGTCATGCAAATGATGATGGTTGAAGCGTCTACAATAAAATAACAACTTGCAAATTTGACAAAAGTAGTTGAAGGCCTGACAAAGTACATGAAATATCAAGATGATAAACTTTCGAAGTTGATGAATAAGGTGGAGAGTATAACGGAGGAAGAATCAAGCCAAGCACCTATGAAGCTTCCAGAAATTCATGAGAAAGGAGAGTCCGCTGCAAAGCTAGCAACAATGACCAAAGAGCTCTAAGTCTCTTCTGATGGACAAATTCATGTTGAGCAATTGAAGGACTTCATCATAGAGGCCATCAAAGATAAAATTAAGCCTTCGCCTAAATCTTTCCTTACATACGCAAAGCCGTACACACAAAGGATTGATAACTTGAAGATGCCAAGCGGATATCAACACCCTAAGCTTCAACAATTTGACGGTAAATGGAATCCCAAGCAACATGTTGCACACTTCGTCGAGACGTGCAATGATACTGGAACTTATGATGATCACCTTGTCAAGCAGCTTGTTTGATCTCTCAAAGGAAATGCTTTCGATTGGTACACAGATCTTGAACCTGGTTTCATTGATAGTTGGGAGCAACTCGAGCAAATATTCCTCAATCGCTTCTATAGCACGAGACACATTGTGACCATGATTGAACTTACAAATGCCCGCCAACGGGAGGAGGAGCCAGTTATCAAATTCATCAATCGTTGGAGGAGTTTAAGCCTCAACTGCAAAGACCGCCTTAGCGAAACTTCTGGTATCGAAATGTGCATTCAATGTACGCATTGGGGCCTTCGCTACATCTTGCAAGGAACAAAGCCTAAAACTTTTGAAGAGTTAGCCACCCGTGCACGCGATATGGAATTGAGTATGGCTACATATTAAGATCAAAGGTTGTCTGTCTTTGAGACTCAAGACGAAAAAGAAGTAGACGATGCCAAAAATGGGGGCAAGTATTCATTTGAAACTGAAATCGAAAAGTCCATGCATGTCACTATACTCCTTAACGCATGAGCCTAAACTGTAAGTCGCAATGCTCCTTGACGCATGAGCCTAAACTGCAAGTCGCAATGCTCCTCAACGCATGAGCCTAAACTGTATGTTGTAATGCTCCTTGATACACGAGCCTAAATTATATGTCATAAAATTCCTCAAAATCGAGTCAAATCTTCAAGTTGTAAAGCTCCCCAAATTTGAGCCAAATCTTCAACTTGAAAAGCTCTTCAAAATTCGAGCAAAGTCTTCAAGATGTCAAGTTCTTCAAATTTGAGCAAAGACTTCAATTTGCAAGCTCTTCAAATTTGAGCAAGTCTCCAAGACGTAAAGCTCTTCAAATTTGAGCAAATTTTTCAAGTTAATATACTCCATGTCCACACGAGTATAAACTGCATACAAAAAAAAGAACTTTTACTTTTTTTTGAACTATGTAATGACTTGATCCTCTTTGCTGGGTACGTAGGAAACTTAGATTTCATTATAAGTTCAGTCATTTAAACGAAAAAAATAGCCAATTCTTTTTCACGATAGCCAAAAGAGGGTGCTAGCTCTTTTTATGCGACATGCGCTTCTTTGGTAAGTTAAGAGATGTCGTTATTCCACGTCAAAGCTTAAAGGATTACGCGCCATATTTTCTTTTATCCAGCCGCATGAAAAAAAATGTGTCATGTGCTTCTTTCAATAAAGGTAGAAGGACGAGATGCTCTCCTCCATAGCTCGAAATATGGAGCACTACATGTATCTTTTCGTCAAGTGATGAGAAGGACGTTCTATGCAATTCTTTTCTAAATTGCAAGAAGATGTTGTTCTACTCCAAATCTTGAAGTTTAGGACACCCCATGCACTTCTTCGACAAGTTGAAAGAAGATGTGGTTTCGCGCCAAAGATTGCAGGATGGCTACTCCACATACTTTCTCACAAAAAATGCAAGAGTAGTACTCCTAGTGTCTAGCCAAGCTACAAAAGGGGAGATATGCCACGTACTTACTCGCCTAGTTGGAAAAGGATACTCTAAGTGTCAATCTCGCCCAACCGCAATAAAGAGACAAACGGTTCATCCACAATCATGCGGACCTCTAGTGAATCTTCTTAGGGATATTATGACTGCTCTTGAAAATCTGCAAAAGAGAAAGATTTTGGAGCACCCCGGTGCCAATGGCACAAAGCTTTTGGTATTGCTTAGTAGATCGGTGCCAACGACACAGAGCTTTAGCTCAACAACAAGTACCAGTGTCAACAACACGACGCTTTAATGTGGATGTAGGACTTGCCATGGACTTCTTCGCCAAATTGCAAGAAGAGGACACCATGAAACTCCTTCTAAGGCAGGGAAGGAATGCGAGCCGTAATCATGGCGGTGAAAGACGGACATACTCGAGTGATTATGTGTTTGCCAAAGCTTGACCGAAAAGGTGGATGCACCAAACTGTTGTCCGCCAAAGCCTCTGCCGAAAAGGTAGATGCGCCAAATTTTCATCCTCCAATTCCACGAATATGAGGATGCGCCAAGTTTTCCCTCGCCAAACCTGCAAAAAAAAAAAGTATGCTGCCCAAAAAAATAATCCTCCTAATTTCGGTGCTTGATTAAAAAAACTTATTGTGGCCGGATAGAAAAGGGAAGGGCTTCGAGTTTTATGTATGTTGTAGCTCTCTTATTCTTCTTTTCAACGGTGCAAACGGCTCATGATTTGGACCCTCCTACCTCGAGATATGAATTATTTGGCGAGAGTGCACAAAGCTGAAAGAGCCGGCACGTCGGAACTCATCGTGTAACTTCTAAATAGTATCTGGAACGATCTAGAAGCAATCTGATTGTGATCTTTACAGAAGTCGAAGTTTGAGGAGTATAGTTTTCATAACTTCAAACCGTTTGTGATTCCGATATTTCTGCACCCAGGTATGAATCTTTCAGTGAAGGCGCGCAAAGCTGAAAAGTCGAGCACGGCAGAATCTGAAGCGAAGTTTAGAAACACTCCTGAGACAGTTCAGAACAAATTTGGCTTCGTATTTTTGATATGTTGTAGCGCTCCGTGTTTAGTGTAAATAAAATCAAGCGGAATGCAATTCGCACGCTCATACACCAGGTTATGAACTTTTTTGTAAAGGCGCGTCAATCTGAAAGGTCAAACGTGGCAGCACCTGAAAAGAAAACTCAAAACATTTCCTGAGGTGGTATAAAAAGATTTTTGCTCCAATTCTTGGATATGTTTCAGTTCTTTGTGTCATGTTTTAGGAGAATCGAGTGGCTCGCGTTTTCGACGCTCCTATGGCAAGGTATGAATGTTTTCTCGTAGATGCGCATAGTTAATAACTCCAGGCAACTTCTGCTACCAAGGAAATGAAACGTGACTCACTGATTAAAAAAAAGGAAAACGAAGAAGCAAAAATTGTGGAGACGAGTTGATCAGTTTCACGGGTGAAAACAAAACCACACAACAAGGTTCTTATATAGACAATAAGTTGGTGGTGCTTTTCCCCTGGCACAAAGAAATTCCCTTATAAGAAAATGAAATTACCATGTCTAATAAGGAATTATGGAATCGTACCTTTTGTACTCCAAGAAAGAATCCATAAAAAAGGAAAAGAGTATTAGTGAAACCTTTGGTTCTCGTAATTGATCATCTCAAATAAGGAAAGCTCTACCGTTAAAGATAATATTCAAGATAGAATCAAATTAAGAGTTTCCGAGACGTCAAATTGAAGGCATATTTAGCTAGTTCAAAACATTAAAATTTCGGACTGTGTTTGACTAGTTAACTGCAATTAGCTCTTAAGTGGGCTAAAATAAAGGAAAAAATAACGTCTCCTTTGCTATTTCAAGTCTCGTCTTCAAGTTTCGTCAAGTATACACCTCGACAAGCCTTGAAGCAGGGGCATTTATAGACAATTAAAATTTTATTAAATTCAAATCCACAAGTAATTTGGATTTTTATCATATATTAAATACATATTAGTCCAAATAATACTATGGGATACTATAATCGGGTCGATTATTTAAATCTAATATAAATTGATTTAAATAAAAGTCCAATATATTATTGGGCTAGCCCATCAATTGGTCTTCTATCAAATGGGTTGGCCCATAAGCCTCAAACCCAATGACCTACTAGGGTTTTCTTGGAGCCTACTCCATCCCATACCTATATAAAGGGGTTAAAGGAGAAGGCTAGAGGAACAAGCAAGTAAGCAGAAGGGAAGGCTAAAGAAGCTCTAAAGAATAGCATTAAGGTCTCCATCCATATCTGCAATCATCGTCTGTGGTCAAATTCCAAAGGTGAACTCAAATCATAGGCGGGCGGCTTCAAATCTTCCGTTCGTGATAACCCAACACCAAATCCTGGTTCGTGATGACCTTCAAATTGTTCGTGACGTACTACAAATCTGAAATCCGTCAAGTTCAAGATCAAGCTCTCAAGCCCTTGAACCATCGTCCGTGAGGAGAAGAATCAAAGGACTACATCTCTTTAGATCTAGAGATATTTTAGAGATTGTAACTCAATCACTTGAAATCGAATATAATATTTATTGCTATATTTTGTTGTCTTGATTATTATTGTTCAGGAACGAAATTTAGTTGTTACAGCCACATTCCATCTTTCTTTTCTAGTTTAAATGCATTTAACAAACATATTACTTAACATTATGATTTATGACCTAACAAGAGCTCATTTGTGACAAAGAAATTACGAATTGTCCTAAAGCTATGATAATAGAGAGTAGAAATTCAACAGATAAATCACTTGGAACTTTACGCAAGTAGCAATCATTAACATTGTATGCAGACCACTCATCCTGCTTAAATACATTTCGAGTGCTACTTCTCTAACTGCTCATTATCATAGTACCATTAGCCATAACTTAATCCAGAGTAGTAGATTTATAGTCCTAAAAATACTCTCATTATTGACTGTATGATGCATACCTTAAGATACTCTGCTCTCATAGCAAGGGTGAACTATAAACAATGACATATTCTGAAACTACTAAAAATAATTAGGTGCCAAATAAAAAGCTAACATGGTCTCACCTTTTTATTATATAAACCAAAAAAAAAAATTAAGGTAGATTTGAATCCAAATAGAGCAAAAGAAAGCATTTAATAATGATTTTTTTGCAAGTTAAAAACCCTAAATAGATTTCATTGTCTGCACTTGAACGAGGTGCACGCAAATTTTTTTCACCTCATGTATTACAATAAACATTTAAATTTGACTGATGGTGAGGGCACGGAAGCAGTTCCCAATTCGACGTAATTCCTTTGCAACTTTAATCATATATGGCCGATCTTCTCCCTTTGACTCAGTACATTGCTTAACAAGATCCAAATAGTCTTCCAAGTGTTGTCGAATCTCAATTCCGTGCTTTTCTAGAATGGCAGGATCCGCCATATCTATTGCACTGCCCTCTTTAATATAACGTTGGACGCTGGTGGGAAGATTTGGATCTTCAAATTCGACGCTAGGTGGAATATCTCTAATATCTATCTCGTGCATGCTTGTTCCAGTTAATAGCTGAAAGAGAAGAACCCCTAAGCCGTAGACGTCAGTTTTTTGAGTGACAATACCCGAGCGGACATATTCAGGATCTATATACAGGACTAATGTTCCGCGCACACAATCTTTTACTTCCAATTTTCCTGGAGGCAATGATATGGACAATGAGAAGTCGACCATTTTGACAGCGCCACTATTCCGATCTATTATCACTTTGAATGGGTTTATATCTCTGTGGATGATAGGTGTAGTAAATTCGGTATGGAGATAAACTACTGTTGAAGCGACCTCATTCACAATCCGTAACCTATTTTCCCAAGATACTGGTCTTGTGACACGCTCACGATTACCCTCATTAAAAAGTAAATCATGAAGACTTATAGCCTCAACATATTCATATACCAGAACTGGTTTTGCGAATTCAAGGCAGCAGCCGAAAAGTCTAAGCACATTCTTGAGATGGCTCATTTGAGCAGTAATTGCTATATCTCGGTGGATACTACCGAAGCTCTGATAATTGAACCTAACTAAAACGAGCTGGTTGTCAAGCAAGCCCGTAACCATATCCACACCGGAGAGCTCTATTTTACTCTTAGAGTGCTCAATTGCATTCTCGATCTCTGTGGCACTTAGGTAACGGAGGGGAATTCGGCAATTTCCGTCACATAAAGCAAGAAGCTCCTTTAGCACTGCACTTCCATTATTTAGATAATATTGCTTTTTCTTCAGCCTTTCTGCAATGGCATAGGATAACAGTTTCCTCGCGAGTCTGCCAAAGTGATGCATTTGTTCTTTTCCAAATCCGAGTAATGGATAAATTTAAGACTAGAAGTCTCTTTTCTCTTCAACTTAGTCTTAATGCAGTGGCCTTATATACACTTGTGGAATGTTTCCAATTTGTCTTTCTACTATAGCGTGAGCTTAAAATTCCACACAAAATGACAAATTGCGTCAGATGGCTATTGATTGAACTTTCTTCTAAACTATTCACTGGGTAGTTTCATTGCAATTACTTTATAGTGTGTCTCTCTTGAACTTCCGTGCACTTTACCAGTTGCAACTGTATAGCTCGTCCAAAAACAAAGTTTGAAACATTTAACGAAAGGATCATAATTCATAAGGACACACACGCGGAGTGTGCCTTGGATTCCACACAAAAGTTGAAAGTACGTAAATTTGCTTTTAGAAAACATGTTTTAGAGCTATTCATATATTTGTCCTTATCAAATTATCTTCTTCTTTTTTTTCTTAACTTTATCGAGCTCCAACTTGTATTGGGTGAATTTCATGCGTCAAAATATTTGGGGAAAAATGTTTAAATTTATCCATTTATGTTTTACTATAATTTAAAGTTATCTTCATTATACTTTACTCGAGTTTTCCGAAGAGGGAAGAGCACCTGGTCACTTTCCGGAATTCAATGGACAAGACTCGAATTGATTATCTTCTCTGCAGAAAATGCGATAAAGATCTGTACACTGATTGCAAGGTCATTCCAAGTGAGCACCTCACGACCCTACATAGGCTCCTAGTTATGGACCTGGAGATCAAGAGGAATAGGAGGAAGAGGGCGGGGTGCAGGCAACCTAAGATCAAGTGGGGTAACTTGACCAAGGACAAAGATCAGGAGTTAGGGGAGAAGTTGTTGGCTATGAGGGCCTGGATGAGTAGGGGGATGCATCTAGTATGTGGTTCACGATGGCGAATTGCATTAGGGTAGCTGCTAGAGATGTCTTAGGGGTCATAAAAGGCTCTCCTGGGGGTCATAAAGGGGACTGGTGGTGGAATGGAGAGGTCCAAGGTAAAGTGGAAACTAAGAAAGCTGCTTATTTGAAGCTAGTGGATAGTACAAACGAGGAGGTAAAAAGGACTTATCGGGAGTGTTACAGAAAGGCAAAGAAAGAGGCAAAATTAGCAGTTACGACGGCTAAGAACGCGACATTTGCTCGTTTGTACGAGGAGCTCGGGGGCAAAGGCGGAGACAAGAAGTTGTACCGGTTGGCCAATGTGAGGGAGAGGAAAGCCCGCGACTTAGACCAAGTCAAGTGCATCAAGGACGAAGATGACAAAGTATTGATGGACGAGGCACTTATTAGGAGAAGATGGCAAACATGCTTCCATAAACTGTTGAACGAGGAGGGGGATAGACGCATTGTGCTGGGTAAGTTGGAGCACTCCGAGAGTTGATGGGATTTTGGGTACTGTAGGCGGATTACGGTAGAGGGGGTGGAAGGGGCGATGCAGAAGATGTGCAGGGGCAGAGCGGCGGGGCCAGACGAAATCCCAGTGGAATTCTGGAAGAGCACGGGGCGAGCAGTTTGGAGTGGCTCATTGGGTTGTTTAATGTTATTTTTAAGACGAAGAAGATGGCCGAAGAATGGAGGTGGAGTACGATGGTTCCGCTTTACAAGAACAAGGGTGATATCTAAAATTGCAACAATTATATGGGTATCAAGCTGTTGAGTCACACTATGGAGGTTTGGGAGAGGGTGGTGGAGGCCAGGGTGAAGAAGCATGTGACTATTTCCGAGAATTAGTTTGGATTCATGCCGGGGCATTCGACTATGGAAGTGATTCATCTAGTAAAGAGATTAGTGGAGTAGTACAGGGAGAGGAAGAATGACTTACATATCGTGTTTATTGACCTTGAGAAAGCGTACGATAAAGTTCTGAGGGAGGTCCTGTGGAGGTGTTTGGAGGTTAGCAGCGTTCCGGTAGCGTACATTAGGGTGATTAAGGATATGTATGATGATTCTAAGACTCGGGTGAAGATTGTGAGGGGTGACTCGGAGCATTTCCTTATGGCGATGGAGTTGCACCAGGAATCAGCTCTTAGCCAATTTTTATTTGCCTTGGCGATGGATATACTGTCACGACACATCCAAGGGGAGGTGCCTTAGTGCATGCTATTTTCCAAAGGGAGGTGCCTTGGTGCATGATATAGTGTTGATTGACGAGATGCAAAGCGGAGTTAACGCGAGGTTGAAGGTTTGGAGACAGACCTTGGAGTCTAAAGGTTTCAAACTGAGTAGAACCAAGACAGAATACTTGGAGTACAAATTCAGTGACAGGACCCATGAAGCAAACATAGAGGTAAAGCTTGATGCTCAAGTTATCCCCAAGAGAGAGAGTTTTAAGTATCTGGGGTCTATTATCCAAGGTTATGAGAAGATTGACGAAGATATTGCGCATCGTATCGGAACGGGATGGATGAAGTGTAGGCTCACTTTCGGTGTTTTATATGATAAGAATGTGCCACCAAAACTTAAGGGTAAGTTTTATAAGGTGGTGGTTCGACCGGCTATGTTGTATGGGGCTGAGTGTTGGCAAGTCAAGAACTCTCACGTGCAGAATATAAAAGTAGCAGAGATGAGGATATTGAGATGGATGTGTGGGTGTACCAGGAGAGATAAGATTAAGAATGAAGCTATCCGGGACAGAGTTGGAGTAGCCTCCGTAGAGGACAAGATGTGGGAGTCGAGACTGAGATGGTTCAGACATGTTAAGAGAATAAACATTGATGCTCCTCTTAGGAGGTGTGAGAGGTTGGCCATGGAGAGTTTGAGAAGATGTTGAGGTAGGCCTAAGAAGTACTTGGGAGAGGTGATTAGACAGGACATGGCGCTGCTTTAGCTCACTGAGGACATGACCCTGGATAGGAGGTGTGGAGGTCGAGGATTATGGTAGAAGGTTAGTGGGTAGTTTTTAGTTATTCACCGATAGTCTTAGTAACACGCATATCCCTTCATATTCTTAGATATTTAGTACGTTATGTGGTTCTGTTCGCATCAGGTATTATATTTTCTGTTGCTATTATTTGGTATTACTTATCCTTTATCTCGCCCTTTTTCTTTTCTCTTCCTTCTTTCCCCCTTCCTTGCTTTCCTCTTCTTCTTCTTCTTCTTACCCTTTCTGGGCTGAGGGTCTATTGGAAACAACCTCTCTACCTGAATTAGGCAGGGGTAAGGTCTGCGTACAGGCTACCCTCCCCATACCCCACCTATTGGGAACATACTGAGTTTGTTGTTGTATCTTCGTTATACTTTAAGCTGAAGCACTATGAAATGATTTCCTAACAGTAAGAATATAAACAATCTTAAAAGAGAACGAATGATAAAATTAAGATATCTCATACTATAAAGAGATATTTCAATTCTTTCTCTTTTAAATAATAGGTGTAGAATATATATTTATCTGTATCTATCTATTTATATCTATATCTTTTATGCTAAATGTTGAATGACTAAAATATTTTCGAGATATTGATAACCTTTTATAACCTTAAATAGTTGTATAATTTAAGGATATAATTGTAAATCACCTAAGGCTAAAATTCTTTTTTCGATTTAAACTACACATATACCAAGCCTACTAAGTTGAATTTGGGTCAAATTCTTTTGCATCTTTATCTGCGTCTATGTAATAGTAGCCTACTTCTTCTTGGACAACATAAAATTTCAATGTTGTCATACCAATCCTACTTGGACTATAACACGGGACAAACAAGGTTAGATTCAAATATTTATCTAGGCGGCAAACATAAAGCGCAAAGGAATTAAAACTCGAGTGATTCAAAAAAGAAACAATATAACAGAATTGCGAAGAAACTAACATAAATACTTTTCCTTCTTAATCTATTATTTGGAATATGTAACAAAACTTACTCATAATTTTTTGAAAGCAATATGACTCACTATCACACGACTGAATGAGCATCCTCTTCAAATGATTTAATTGTTTAATGCAGGAAAATTATAATAAAATTCAGGAATAATTTTAGAAAGGCTTTACAAAAAAAAAGTAGAAAACAAAGAGTAAAATTAGAAATAAGGTAACTGGTTGATTCACTATAAGAAAATGTAGTGGAGAGATTAAGGCAATTACTCCAAATTAGTAACTAATATAATTCTTCTTTAAAACGATATCCCACAGTTTTGAGTCCGAATACTAAATTATTAAAAGCATCAATGTTCACAACATTATTCTAACTTCAAACAGTAAGAAATAATTTTGTTATTATTTTAAAATTTGTAGCTCCAATATGATGTAGTTACAAAATTCACGCACCCAACTAATTCGCATTTGTGTCAATGTGATGATCCAAAAGATCATCTCTTGTTTTAGAAGTCAAATCTGTGTTTTGAGGCCTTAAAAACCTCCTTTTGTCTCACTTTGATTTGCGTGTGCAATCCGAACGCGTTTCCGGAAAGCTTTTATGTGAACTTTAAGAGAAATATAGAATTTAGCCTTTAAAATTGATTAGAGTTGACTTGGATCAATATTTTTGGTAAACGGATCCATACTCGTGATTTGACGGCCTCGTAGGATCCGTAGTAAAATATGGGAATTGGGTGTATGCCCAGAATCGAATTCTGAGGTCCCTAGCCCGAGAAAAGAATTTTTAAAGAAAATTATTTGCTGGAAAATATAAAAGCTTTTGGAAATAAAATGGTGTGTGTTCTTGATGGTATCAGGCCCGTATTTTGGTTCCGGAGCCCGGTATAGGTTTAAAATAATATTTAAGTCAATCTGTGAAATTTGGTAAGAAGCAAAGTTGATTTGGTATAAATCGGACCTTAGGTTGAGAAAATGAAAATTTTGAACTATCTTGAGAAATTCATGAGTTTTGGTATTAAATTTGTTGTTTAAAATATTATTTTGGCGATTTGATTGCACGGACAAGTTCGTATGATATTTTTAGACTTGTGTGCATGTTTGGTTTGAAGCCCCGAGGGCTCAGATGAGTTTTGGGTAGGCTACAGAGTGTTTTGGACTTAGGTAAAATTGTTGCAGCTTTCAGTTCTGGTGTTGGCCTCTGGTCTC